TGAAATATGAAATAACAAAATAACTGAATACATATTTTAATGTTGTGTTAGAATTATCTATTTGATAACAGCATTGACTGAAGTGACTTTTGATATGTGGAGCTGTTAGGATACCATATTACGCCTGGGTGGCTCTTTTAAATTTTTCAAACTTTTTTGGGGCATTTTCTCACAGCAGGCGCTTAAAGGCTTTTCATACTTCATGATTAGTAAAAAAGCCAATAGCATAGAATCTACCGCAAATTGCTTTGCCTTATATTATCTCATAAAAATAGACAAAAATAACAGATAAGATCATAAAAGTGTTTTTATCTACCTTAATTGTTCCACAACTTTATACTATGAATTCTTTCCAATACAACTAAACAACAGTTTTGTAAACCATTTAAGTTGCAGGATTGATTTGCTGATAAAATCTGTCTTCTAAATTTTCAAATCTCCAAACAGATATTGTTCATTCTTCAATTCTTTTTATCTGAGGCTAGACATGTTTCCCGCGAGGTTATTCTTATTTTAAACAAATTAGACGAAGACTGGCCCCTTCAGGTTGTACCCTCGACGCAAAAGACTTTAGACTATCAGTTTTGATACGTGTATGTTTTTCGAGTTTCTTTAGTTGTTCCCCAGAAACAAGTTGAGCAAAACAAAGATGGATTTCTCATCCAGTGTCCTTAGATTCCCCTCAAAAGTACCAAAGGATCACCACAGTTCCAAAGAGAATCAATTCCCTAATTTTACCTAAGTACGGGGCCCTTTGGCTATTCCTGAACATATTCTTTACACATTTTCAATATTTTATCTGCAAAGTTTGGTTTTGAAGACTCAGTCCATTTTGTATGTGAGTCGGTCCCATGTGTCCTGACATCTCCTAAAAACTTTCTACTTCGGGGGTAGAATGGAACATTTGACAATTTCGAAATACTTTACTTTGGTAATTTGAAATATGAATTAATTATAAGATATCATCATGAATTATGAAATAATGTCGTCCCCTCTTATAGGGCCTCGCAAAACATCACGAGACACCAAAAGCCATCTACTTGAAAAGGGGGATAAGAAGTAACTGTTTCTAATGGTCCTCACTATATTTCGCAACAAGCTATCGTTGTATCAATCCAAACATTTTTAAACATCTATTGACACATCAACGTGTTTGTATCCAAGCATTTTTCACATCCCAACTTTTTTTAGAATATCTAATTTTTGCAGAGCCACAACATTTTTTAATTATTAAAACTCGCATTTTCTTGCTTTGAACAAAACTCAAGTAAACCAAAAACTTGATTCTTGATAAAGCTTGAGCGTTGCATTATTCTTGAATTTTTTTAAATTTCAGCGATTTAGAGCCTTAATATTCTTATAGACTATTTTCTTATAAAAAATGTGTACCCTGAATCATATGAATGGACTAAAATTCGAAAAAAAGCTAGCCCTACTCAAGCTCTACTGAATGAATCGGTTATTGAACCTCACTGCGCAACCAAATTGTGCCCTGACTCTGAGCCGACAAGGAAGATAGTCTCTTTTGCTAGTCGACCCGTCCTTGTATCACTTTTCTCACTTCTTAGAAATAGAAACAGTTTCATGAGTTATTGAAAAGTTAATTGAAAGCTGAAAACATTGCCTCTGCAGCTAAATAAAATCCAATACATGAGCCGAAAAATACATTTATTGCTATGCATATGAAAAATTAGAATTTTTTGCTCAATTGTTTATCGACAACAATACGTCCTTAATCTTAACAAAACGTCTCGACAGATTTACCACTGGAGACAGCACCATGGTTGCCGTAGAAGGACGAAAAATCATTTTGAGTGTAAGTTATTCAAGTTTCCTGCAAAATGGACCTTTTGAAGCAATTTTGCTTTTACAAAAAATTTGATGGTTTCTCTGGGACAAAATCTCTCACATTGAGTGGTTGGGGCAAAGTCTTGATATCGGGACTAATAAGGAAGCCTGGGAGTTGTGAATAAAAAAGGAACATTTCCATAAATGCTGAAATTGGTTTTGCCGAAAAGCTCCATAGGGGAGACCATATCTTTGGTACAGTAGTCTTTGTGCTCCTTTAATGATAAAAACTGATTCAATGTTTTCGCTGACCATATCATTGTTATAATCCAATGTTATCACTTTACATGTTAGAAGATTGGGCAATTTCATCCCCTCGTGCTAATTTTAAATATTTATTTATTTATAAAGATGAGATTTGAATACTTCCTTTCTCTTGGCCCTATCCTCTAAAATCCTGGTTATTTTCTTAATATAATCAAAAATGTTTCAAATAAGGTCCTCGTTTCCATTGAAGGAACTATGTCACAGAATAGGAATTAGGCAGAAGGGGAACTCCTGCCTATCAGGTGAAGCCTGAAAAAACTTGCGCCTGGGTTAACTTATACGAGGCTTAGAATATCGGGGAAATTTTAAAAAAGAATGAAAGTAGACAACTTTATTTGAGACGAAATGCCCCATGATAGTGAACAAATTCAATTATGTATCATAATTCGTTTATATCTGATCAATGAATGATAATTTTGTCATGGCTAAGTTCGTCTAATGAAATCGAGGTTAAAGGGGAATTAAGGAAGTCTATTGTTGACTCAGGCTTCAAAAACAACAAAGGAACCGACGAGAGTTACCCTTCTGCCTATTTCCTATTCTGTGACTATGTTTTGTTTATTTTGATCTCTTCGTAGCAGGAGGACGTGATTGTAAAAACTCTGCCCATATAATTCCTATCATAAAATAAGTGGAAATGTAAGGAGGTAACATAAGAGTTTGTATAAAGTTTTTGGCAAAGACTTAAGATGATTTTATATTGCTTGATAGTTGTATCAGGTTGTTTAGAAGCATCCCTCTCTTCTTTCGTGAAGTAAGGATGCTATGACAGTTCATATGAGACAGATTCATCTATATAAATTTTTGCAGCTTGTACATACATGTAAAGGTTGTGCATTCGCGCAGTGATAAGTAATGTAAAGCTTGGTTCAAAAACCTTTTAAATCACAAGTTAATTGTAATTTTGTTTTTTTAATATGTTGCGCGGCCCGTTATGCTTACGAGCAAATTATGACACCATATAAAACCTAAACCTTCAAAATTTCTTGGGGCCAACTGCCACCTTGGCCCAGCTCGCTTTGCAAGACCATGTCCACAACATTAGGATTGATGATTTTTTAATTGTTTAAACTTTTTAATAATATCCAGTTCAGTTATATCTAGTTGCCTTGTCTGTAAAAGTATCTTCTGAAAATTCCCTAGTCATGAATATTACGTCAACCCCTATTATTATGAATTAATTGGGACTGACCATCCCTTGAATCATTCTGGAAACTGTACGTAGATATTTTGTCCGCCTTGCGGAGACAATGTTCTTCGAAAACATTTGACTCGTGTTAAAGAACTCTATGACACCATATAAAACTGCCGAATATTTCTTGGGGATCCTATTTGTTTGTTGGCCCAGTGGGAGGTACGGCCCTGCTTACAAGGCCATAGCAACCACGTAGCTGTAGGTGTCGGCTAGGGGGGGGGGGCAAACTCGAGCAAGAACCATACCTGAGGGGGGCAGGCTTTAAAACAAGAAAACAGATATATAACAAACAGATATATTTGGACAAAATCAAGATCATGGATTTATAAATATGCCAAATTTTCAAAATATCATTTGGAAAGACTGTAGCCGGAGGGGGCAAGCTGTTGTCAAAATTTTCATTTGGGGGGCACAGCCCCCCGTGTCCCCCCTGCAGCTACGTGGCTGGGCCATAGAGGTACCAGTTACACTATATCACTGTGTTATCCTATCTCTTTGGTATGGGCACTATTGTTTAAATTTCCTCTCCCTTTCTTGTCCTAACTGACAACAATGACTGACAGTAGCTTGTCCATTCTTACGTTTCTCCTATTCGACATGGAGCTCTTTTCAAAACCTTTGGTGTAAAGTGAAAAGCCTTGACGCGGACCGTATTTCATTTGAAAGCCACAACCGTATTAAAGAAGCCGTAAACCGTTGCGAATTTATACCGAAAGACGCAAAACGCACCTTTTGTTGAAACCGCAGTCCGTAGATAAACCATGCTTAAATCCGGAGGCCGTAGGTAAAAATAGGGTCCAAGCCGCAAACCTATAATAGGCCCCCCTAAAGCTTTTTAGAAGAACCATAAAAGCGGGTAAAAGAGGTTTGTGATTGTACACAGGGATTTAAAATAAACCTAGTCTACATAGGCCCTATTCGCACTGCAAATATGATAATGTTTGTCAAACCCGATATTCTCACGCCAATTAAGAAAATTTTTTCAAGATTGACAAAGTTTGTCAGACTTCTTGATCGCATTAGGCAGTTTTCTGAGATGTTGTATTGTTATCTAACACGTTATCAGATTGCCATTAAGAAATTGTACCTTTTTAAATTGTGACATGATTTCAAATAGCACCCTGGACTTTTTTATTGGTGTTAACATAATTCTGACATGTCCGTCGAGTCACCCGCTGGTTATCATAGATTTTCACGAGATTGTGATGCTCCAGAGCTCTACGACGGAACCTTTGACCAATTAGTCGAAACGTTACAATTTGTCAGATTTCAGATTTTGCTGTTCGCATTTTACCAATTAAACTACTTCCTGACAAACCCTTGCCGCCTTTGAAGATAGAACAATAAGAGATAATCATTGTCAGGTTTCTAGGTGCAGTGCGAATAGGGCCATAGGACCATAAAGGCGGAAGAGCTGTACTAAATTCTTCCGGGTTGCAGGGTGAGTATGATGTTGGTCATCGCAGCGTGCAGACTGCAAAGGATTAAAACAAAATAAAAAACCATCCCCTTTTCTACTTTCGGTCAGTATCGCATTTAACGTGCATTTAAACACACCAAAGTCAACTTGCAGGAATTTTTACGAGCCTAAACAACCTGTAAAAATATCATTCAAAATTCAAACAAAATTTTGACTCACAGAACAGAGAGAACTTTTGTATTCACCAACGACTCGCTGTCTCGTATTAAAAATGACCCAGGTTTGCCAGCATCCAGCAAAAATTTATAAGCATCT